TCCCTACAAATATATATTTAGGTGTTATAAAAAAAAAAATTAAAACGTAATTTTGAAAATAATTTAACATGTAGACACTTCTGATTTGACTTCTTTTATAAATTAAGAAATATTTTAAAGCAGAAGTGACCTTAAATAAAGACAATCGAGTTCAATCTAATAATAAAATTTAAAGTCTAAAATTTGAACACAAAAGGAAGGGAATAATTAGATTAGAACTTTCATAATATGATGGTTTTATTTTTATCTCACCCGTGACATTATTGTCTTATCCTCTGTGGTTTTAATGAATCTGGAATATGTCAGCGTAGCTCTCAATTCATGAGAAGCACGTACTGATGAGATCGTTCCATTGTTAAATTGTTTGACTTTTTCTTATTTCATTTTGCATCCATATTATTCTTATTATTACGTTCTTATTTTACCGACCAATTTAACTGTCTCATCATATTTTTTAACAAAGAAATTAATGTCTTCGGTGTAATAAAAAGTTATGTAGTTAAGTAATCCTTTCACGATGTTGGAAAGGATTTATAATTTATTTACTTTTTTAAAATTAGGATTCATACTTGTTAAACTTATTTAATATTTTAACAGTTCTCGATAGACAACACTCACCACTCACCAGTCACCACTTTCACGATGAAAGTGACTGTCTAGTATCTATCTATATTTTTACGTCCATATTCTTATATGAACAAAAACTTATACATAGTTTCTTCATAATTATTTGTAGTGTTAGATTAAAACTGGAGTTTTATCTAAACATGTAAATTATCCAGAGTGTTAAAGTAAATAACACTAAAATAAAAGGGATGGAACTATATAAGTTTTGTCCTATTTGTAATTGGGTAACAATGTCATAGTTCTAATTAAATTTTTAAAAAAAAAAAAAAAATACTGTATCTGAAACTATCTCTCTGTCTCTTGTCAAGGATTGATAACGATATGTGTAGTAGTCCAGTCATGCTGTTCATTTCAATGAGGGGACATTGACTCGGTATGACAAAGCAGGGAGAAGAAAAATGGAAACTTCACCGATTTCGCGTTTATCATCAATCTTTCCTATAACTGGATAAGGTGGTGATTGGATGATAACAAAGAATAGAATTTCGTTATTCAACATTAGAGAGTTATTATGACTATGAGAGTGGCAAGACTTTGAGTTCTACTTCAAAGTTGATAATGGGTGAAAGAAAAGGAATTCTACTACTGGTTTCCTTCAACTGTTTGTTGTTTGCAATAGCACAAGATGTTACCAATGATTGTAAGTTCTATGATCATATACTTATCTTCATGTCTTCAAATTCAGAAACTAGCAAAATATGCATGATTCTTCATGCAATAGAGTCTCACCTTTTTATTATGACTATGAGAGTGGCAAGACTTTGAGTTCTACTTCAAAGTTGATAATGGGTGAAAGAAAAGGAATTCTACTACTGGTTTCCTTCAACTGTTTGTTGTTTGCAATAGCACAAGATGTTACCAATGATTGTAAGTTCTATGATCATATACTTATCTTCATGTCTTCAAATTCAGAAACTAGCAAAATATGCATGATTCTTCATGCAATAGAGTCTCCCCTTTTGCATTTTCAAGTTTTTTTTTTTTTTTTTTTTTGTTTCATGAACATGATATGCGCAATATGCTAACAACTAAAGACTAAGCACGTTCAAGTTCAATGAAATGTTTAAATACTTGTGTGTTAAGAGTGAAAACTTCAATGACTGAAATAAAATTTGACTTTTCAACGTAAAATATTGTTCAGTTGCAGCCCTAAGGTCTCTAATGGATTCTTGGCAAAGCCCAACTATCAACTGGGTGGGTTCAGATCCTTGCAATGGTCGTTGGAATGGCATTAAGTGCAAAGACTCGCGTGTTATTTCAATGTAAGGTCTCTTTTGATTATCTCTGTTTTCTTTAGTTTTATCCTTTATTGATCTATATTTTTTAGAGTATAACCTTCTGGCTAGTGCTTCAGATCATTACCAGATATTGGTTTGACCGGCCAGCTTTCAGGAGATATTGGATCACTTTCTGAACTGAACACTCTGTAAGCCTTTGAATTTAAAGATCGAAATGATCTTTTATTAGTTAACATGTAGACTAGTTTACTAAGGCGCAACAGAAAAAGAAATGTTTGCAAAAGCCATGAGCTCATTGGGTACATGTTAAGATGAGTTTTCAAGAGTTTCTCTACTAAAAATAAGAAACATTTTTTTACAGAGAAACTCTTCTAACTTTTTTTCCAAGTGGGCTCTAAGTGATTACGAGAGTATCCAAATGAATTATAATTTCCTTGGTTTGTCTATTAAATAGGAAACCAACTTTTATGAATAGGTCACTGTTTATTTCCTAACTGTTTTTTCTCCTTCTATAGGGATCTCTCAAACAATAGGGGCTTAACAGGATCACTTCCACCAGAAATTGGAAAGTTGAAGAAGCTATCAAAATTGTAAGGAAGTCTTGATTGTTGTCTAGTTTATAACTCAATCCTTTTACCAACAAAAAAAATATATTAAGGCCTTATCATGAACAAGCATGATGAAACAATTCTAACAAAAGTTGTACTTTCTCATTTATCTTCCAGAACTCTTGTTGGTTGTGGTTTTACTGGTCCCATTCCAGATGAAATAGGATCTCTACAAGATCTTGTTTTCTTGTAAGCATATTTTTTGCTGTTAAATTTTTTTGGGGGAATTCAATCCCAATAATACCCTTTTGGTGGTGTGTTGATTTTTTGGGTAATACTCTAAACCAACAATTTCCTATTGCAGATCTTTAAACTCCAATACTTTTGTTGGACCAATTCCACCTTCTATTGGCTCTCTGTCAAATCTTACTTGGCTAGATTTAACTGACAATCAGCTTAGTGGATCCATCCCAGTATCAAGTGGCACTACCCCTGGTCTTGATATGTTACACAATACGCGGCACTTGTAAAGCAATTCTTTTCAGCTGCCGGTTCTTCTGTATCAGTGATTTTTCTTTATGTGAAGAAAAAAAAATCTAACATATTTCTAATATTGTTTGCAGTCATCTTGGGAAGAATAGGCTTTCAGGAGAAATTCCTCCAGAACTTTTCAGCTTAAAAATGACTCTGATACATGTGTAAGAGCTGTCCTTTATATTTGTCGTTTATAGTCTTTGAACACATGATTGAGCAAGTATGCAAAATTTTCCACTTTCATATAATTGTACATAGGGCACAGGTGTAGAAGTTTGGTTGAAACCTTAGCAACAACAAAATGCTCTCGTCATTTGTCAGAAACTTCATGTGACCATAGTGAAAATTTATATTAAATATGATATTGTAAAAACGAACAGACATGCAGACACTTGCATGTTCGGAGAAAGTCTTCTCACTGTCTATCCTTAAATGTTGAATGGTTGATACAACAGAAATTCTTGAGTATAATATATGAGGAGTGTTAACGACACAATCACTTTAGAATATCTTTACTGGCAGGATTTTTGAGAGCAATCAACTAGTTGGCAGCATTCCTGATACACTTGGACTTGTTAAGAGTCTGATGGTTGTGTAAGTACTAAGGGACTATAGTACATCCTCAAACAAATTCATGGTAGAATTTTGCTTGATGCTTTTTGGTTTATGTATATTTTTTGTGGCTATCAGGCGCTTTGAAAATAATTTATTGAACGGATATGTGCCTCGGAGCCTCAACAACCTTACCGGTGTCACAGACCTGTAAGCACAGGAATCATAATGTGCCAACTAGAGTTTTATTCTTCAGGCTGTTGGTTTTATACTCTCACTTTTTCAGGTTGTTGTCCAACAATAAGTTGCAAGGTGCCCTGCCAAACCTTACTGGGATGAACTCCCTAGAATACTTGTAAGTAACGAAGTATTTGTCTGTCACATTTGTAATATTATTACTACACCTTTCTCATTTGAAGTGAATCTTTCTTGTGTGCCAATTGGCTAATTATTTAAAAATCTCTTTTCAAGGGATTTGAGCAACAATAGCTTTGATGAGTCACGTTTTCCACCGTGGCTTTCAAATCTGGAGAATTTAACAACACTGTATGCCTTTCTTTTGCGCTTGTTTTACCCTTGAGCTCTCTATGTATCTGGTTCCAACACTTCAATACAGTTTACTCTTTTTGTTGTTTGGCAGACAAATGGAGAATGTGAACCTTATTGGAAACATTCCGGTTCCTTTATTTAGCCTTGCCCATTTACAAAATGTGTGAGTTACCTGTCTTGATGATTAATCTTACAGTCTTCACTTTCAGAAATAAAAATATAAAGTGGTTACATATTCATCATTATTGTAGTAACATAAATGACACATGTTCTGACAAGTAACATGTTCACAGTGTGCTAAAAGACAACAAGCTTGGTGGAGCCTTGGATATTGGCACCAACTACAGCAAACAACTGCGTCTTATTGATTTGAAGTCAAATTCAATTGAGGACTTTGAGCAGCGAAATGATCTCTCGCATATCAAGATAATGTAAGGCTCATTTGTTAATGATTCTGGTCAAGTTTTTCTGTCTTTCATTACATACATAGTTTATTTTGTAACTAGTTTAGATCTCTTTTCAAGCATAAGATTCAATATTTACAAGTATTTGTTTTTTATCCCTTCCACACGGCTGACGTATTGACTATCAAGTATTGATGCACTTTTGTTTGCAGACTTAAGTCCAACCCGATTTGTTTAGAAACAGGAGTTACAATGAGTTACTGCACCACGGACAGTATTTTAGATACAAAACCACAGAATTGTTTGCTGGATATTTGCGGGCCAAGTCAGACACTGAGTCCCAAGTGCAAATGTGGATATCCAATAACAGGAACTTTAACTGTCAGAGCTCCTTCCTTTTTTGAATGGAGAAATGAAACATCCCTGGAGGAATCTCTTTTGCAAGAATTAAAATTTTATAATCTATCTGTGGATTCAGTTTCTTTAACCATTTCAACTCAAGATCCATTTCGTAGTTTTGAGTTCACAATACAAATTTTCCCACCAGGCCAAGATCATTTCAACCAAGAAGTCATATCTAGTATAAGCTCTGTGCTTGGCAACCTAAGTGCTTATAGTCCATATGATTTTATTACAGGAAACCCAGGTGAAGGTAACTACAGTACTAACTCCACCCCAACCCCATTTTTAAGAGACAGAACTAACAATACTAATTTGTCTGTCTTCCTTCTCATAATTAAGGATCTAAGGTGACAAGTAATTCATCGAGCTCTGTCATAATAATTGGAGCAGCAGTTGCTGGTTCTTGTGTTCTGCTTGTGCTACTAGTCCTTGCAGGTGTTTATGCTTTCCGCCAGAAGTCGTTTGGGAAGTGACAACCTTCTCTCACACACTTACACGGTTAAAAAAGCAACCACACATGATATCAACATAAACTTACTAATGGGAAAAATTAGGGTTCTCACAGTACCCTAAGCTTCCTAAAGAATTTCAATTCAACTCTACACACATTAAGTAAACATCAAAGAGCACAATTAACAACAATTGTTCCAAACAAACAATTATTTCCTATAACACAAAAATCAATGGGGGCTCTTAAGGTTCTTTTCATAATAATAGAGAAGTAAACAAACAAGATTGGAAGTCAATCTTGTTACCCAACAGTTATCACACACCCATGAGTGAGACAACTCAATCCTCTTTATGTTGATAAAAGTCTAATGTCAACAAAAGATATTTGGGGTGATTTTCTCCTTTATCCTCGAGGTACACACTTCAATTAAACATCATATAGCATAATTAACATTATACATCAACAATTGAATTCAAACAAACAATTATTTCCTAGAATGCAAGAATCAAGAGTCTCTTAAAGTTCTCCTAAGAACAACATAGAAGCAACAATGTGAAAATTTGTTGAAACAAAATACAATAAGCCTAAATTAAAGCTAACACGCATCAATATACTAAATTTATCATCTTACAAAAAAATTATAAATTTAACATTTTACTCAAATTAAAAAGATTATGAGAGACCATAATGTCTATATTTCCTCTAATTACTATAAAATCATCAAGGATTAATTTAGTACAATTTTTAATTATTTTCATTATCTTATTTTAATAAAATTTGAGGATTAATTTAAATTCTTTTTAATATAAAGAGAATGGTTTAGTATGATATTAAATTATTTTTTATTATCTTATTGTAAGAACTATTTAAAAGAAAATATTTGATAAAATGAAATCCTTGATTTTGTCTTACTTGTTACTTCCTCCGTTTTTTATTCACTTACGTTTTGTGAGAATTTGTCATTTTTTTTAATTGTCATTTTACTAAAATCAATGACTTATTAATTTTTTTTTCATTTTTATCCTTAATAATTAATGTATGTTTATTGAATACTGTATCTATTTATTTATAATATTTACCTATTTTTTCTCTAACTACTTAGGTAAAGTTAATGTTATATTTAAAATGGCAATATGTTTATAATGAAATACTATAAAAAAAATAGAAAGTAGAATAGAAAAGTAAGTAATAAATATTTTTAAAAACTAAAATATCAGTTATTTTCTTAAGTTTCGTGTAAAACTTTAAAAGACTATGAATAAAAAACGGAAGGAGTATTTTATAAAGAATTAAATAAAAACAAGCTTACCGTAAGAAGTGCAGAGCAAATTGGAATCGATATTCTTCGAACAAGAGCGAGATTGTATTTTAGGGCGCGAGCAAGCGTTAACGTTTGTACTCTTCCTCAGTCAAAATGAATAAACGCAATACTGACATTTCAAATAACATTAAATTTTCCCAATCCTTTAAACCCTTTAAACATTCATTTTCGAAGCATTAAATACATATAATAAAATATGTAGTCTCAAATTGAATACACTTTACTAAAATCAATGACTTATTAATTTTTTTTTCATTTTTATCCTTAATAATTAATGTATGTTTATTGAATACTGTATCTATTTATTTATAATATTTACCTATTTTTTCTCTAACTACTTAGGTAAAGTCCGCTGTTGCAGTTTTTATTTTCCCTCTGGTACCCAACAAAGAGAAGGGCGGAAAGAGCAATTTCTCAAAGCAATCCTTTTGGTAAATAGTTATAAACTCAATTCATGCACAGTCACTTGGAACTGTGTTGATTTATATTCATTTTTCACAAAATGCAGGAAACTGGGATCCAGATAAAAGCAACTGTGACACCCCTCAGTTAAAAGCAGCAAGGCAGTTCTCTTTCAAAGAAATTAAGAAATACACAAACAACTTCTCACAAGCCAATGATATTGGATCAGGAGGTTATGGAAAGGTCCTGAATGTTTCTTGTTAACTTTAATGTGTTGCAAATTATACATATATATATATATCAACTTATCAAGTGAGAACAGTTCTTATCAGAATAGCAAATTTTAACCATACAACCAACTACATGAATGGTCATGATTTTCTATTCTCTTGAGAACAATTCCCACCTGATATTTTGTTCTCAACTGCTAAATAGTATTTTCTGTCAGATGAATGGCTTTTCTAGGCCCAAAAAAGTAAAAGAAAATACACAAATTGGTTTTTTCAAAACAATAATTTGAATGGTTAACATGTTAACCAAATTGAATTTCAACAAAGTTCAAAGAGTGATTAATGTGAGAGCCAAATATTTTGTCAATTAACCACACAAGTATTAATTTTCTAAGTTAGAAAATTTTCCACCTGTATTCCAATTCTCACACATTTCTAACTAGGATGACGATAACAGTCATTCATGCAATCTTGTGTGGCACAGCCAAACACTCATCATCTCAAATGCATTTGATGCATGAAGCTACAACCAACACAGACATGCTAGTCATTCATTAGCAACAAATTTTATATGGACATGTTAATAAACGTAATATTTATTGGCAGATATTTAACTATATACTTCCAACAATAGACTGATAAGTAAATTTTCGCAGGTTTATAGGGGAACTCTTCCCTGTGGGAAAGTGGTAGCCATAAAACGAGCTCAAAAAGAATCAAAGCAGGGAGGGCCAGAATTCAAAGCTGAGATTGAACTTCTTTCAAGGGTCCACCACAAGAATCTGGTTAGCCTTGTGGGATTCTGCTTTGAACGAGAAGAACAAATGCTGGTTTATGAGTTTGTCCAAAATGGAGCTTTGAAGGATGCACTCACAGGTATTTATATATCTCCAGCCTGGTACTTAAAGCAAATATTACTATTTGTATTGAATTTTTAACTAATTAAATTGGATTATTTACCTTTACACCTTTTGGCCAGTACTCACCATTCAGTTTCCTCAGTGTTACCACATTGACAAAGCACTACACAATATCTGTTTCTGAAAGATAACTTTACTTACTAAAATCCTAGGCCCAGTGTTTCTTTTCTTATAATTATGATATTGTCTAAAAATGATTGCTTAATGAGATATGTCAAATTTATAATAGCTATTGTACCTAATAAGTAATAACATGCATATGATCTATGCAGGGAAATCTGGAATTATATTGAGCTGGACTAGAAGACTGAAAGTAGCCCTTGGTGCTGCCAGGGGTTTGGCTTATCTTCATGAACATGCTGATCCCCCAATTATACACAGGGATATCAAATCAAACAACATTTTGCTGGATGAAAACTATACTGCTAAAGTGGCTGATTTTGGTCTCTCCAAGTCTATCTTAGATGACGAAAAAGATCACGTTACCACTCAAGTTAAAGGAACAATGGTTTGTATATGTATCATCTGTCTGGAGCAAAATCTAGTTTTCAAAATCTTTTTGCATCAGAGAAAATCTCATTGAACACCAGTGATGACTGATGAGTGTGGATTCAATTTGTTAATGTAGGGCTACTTGGATCCAGACTATTATACTAGTCAGCAGTTAACTGAAAAGAGTGATGTTTATAGTTTTGGAGTGCTAATGCTGGAGCTGATTACTGCAAGAAAGCCAATAGAGCGAGGGAAATACATTGTGAAAGTGGTCAGGAATACAATAGATAAGACAAAAGACTTGTATGGTCTTCACCAAATTATTGACCCAGCCATCTGTTCAGGATCAACACTGGAGGGTTTTGAGAAGTTTGTGGACCTTGCAATGGAGTGTGTTGAAGTGATGGGAGCTGAAAGGCCTGCAATGAGTGATGTGGTCAAAGAAATTGAAGACATGTTGCGGTCTGCTGGTTTGCTCCAAACATCTGAATCTGTAACATCCACTTCATCTAGTTCTAGATATCAGGAGGTAAGTATATTGAATACCCATCAGGACCAACCTTATAGTAAGGAGTCCTTTGGTTCAAGTGCAGAACATTTATATTAAAAAAAATGAGCTAGTTAAGTTAGTCTTTTTCTCGAGATAGAAGTCAAGAAAAGCTTGTTCATAAGTATTTAATGGCCAAAACACTTAAACACATAGAAGTGGAAATTGTGGATCAAAAGTTTGTGGCTGCTGACTTAAGAGTATTACATGGTCCACATTTCCTTGACTATCATTTCTCTTCCTTCTCTCCCTCTTGAGCTGTGAAATGTATAACGAATATAGGTTTTGATATGGAACATATAGAACATAAACGGTTGTGTTGCTCATGATGTAGAACAGAGACAGGAGTAACCTTCAATGTACCCTAAAAAAAATTACTGTTAGTGTACGTTACTTTGTATATTTCTACCTCTGCTTCTTAGCGCTGTTTAACTTTGGTCTTTTAACGATGTCCATAACTTGTAAATTTCCTCTGCCGGATGCAATTGACTAATCCAAACTTCTTTTACTTGATGGATTTTAGTGACGAAGGTCACTTGAGGAATGCATTCTGGGTTGATGCTAGGTCCAGGGCTGCATGTGGTTATTTTGGTGATGTTATTTATTTTGACAACTCTTATTTGTCAAACAAATTCGAAATCCCTCTTGTGACTTTTGTTGGAATAAATCACCATGGTCAATCAGTGTTATTAGGATGTGGTCTGCTTTCAAGTGAAACAACAGAGTCTTATATATGGTTGTTTAGGACATGGGTTAAATGTATGTCAGGATGTTCTCCCCAAACTATTATTACTGATAGGTGCAAGGCTTTGCAGAGTGCAATTGTAGAAGTTTTTCCTAGATCTCATCATTGTTTTGGCTTGTCATTAATTATGAAAAAAGTTCCAGAAAAATTGGGAGGGTTGCACAACTATGATGCAATTAGGAAATCACTGATCAAAGCAGTTTATGAGACATTGAAAGTAATTGAGTTTGAAGCAGCCTGGGGATTTATGATTCAGCGTTTTGGAGTTAGTGATCATGAGTGGCTTCGTTCTCTGTATGAAGATCGAGTTCGTTGGGCTCCAGTGTATTTGAAGGACAAATTTTTTGCTGGAATGTCTGCAGCTCACCCTGGTGAGAGCATTAGTCCTTTTTTTGATAGATATGTGCACAAACAGACTCCTCTGAAGGAGTTTCTTGATAAGTATGAATTAGCTCTTCACAAGAAGCACAAGGAAGAATCTTTCGCAGATATTGAATCAAGGAGCTCAAGCCCCTTGCTGAAAACCAGATGTTCCTTTGAATTTCAGCTCTCTAGATTGTACACAAGAGAAATGTTCATGAAATTCCAGTTAGAAGTGGAAGAAGTGTATTCTTGTTTTGGTACAACACAATTACATGTGGATGGCTCCATCATAATTTTCTTGGTTAAGGAGCGTGTTTTGGTTGAGGGAAACAGACGCGAGATTAGGGATTTTGAAGTTTTGTACAGTAGGACGGCTGGTGAAGTTCGTTGCATCTGTAATTGCTTTAATTTTTATGGATATCTATGTCGCCATGCACTTTGCGTACTCAATTTTAATGGGGTTGAAGAGATACCTCACAAATACATTCTTTCACGATGGAAGAAAGATTACAAGCGTCTTTATGTTCCTGATCACAGCACTAGTAGTGTTGATGATACTGACTGCAGTCAATGGTCTAATCAGTTATTTAGAAGTGCCTTACAAGTTGTGGAGGAGGGTATACTTTCTCTAGACCATTACAATGTAGCGTTACAGTCTTTAGAAGAATCACTGAGTAAGGTTCATGATGTAGAACAGAGACAGGAGTAACCTTCAATGTACCCTAAAAAAAATTACTGTTAGTGTACGTTACTTTGTATATTTCTACCTCTGCTTCTTAGCGCTGTTTAACTTTGGTCTTTTAACAATGTCCATAACGAATTTAAACATTTTGTTAAACTTTTTTGTTCAATAATTATAGGGTAACTCATACTTTCTTTCAACTTTAGTTGTTGTAAAGTAGCTATACACATTGTAACACTTTTCTATCCCAAAGTATAATAAATAAAGATTTTTCTTTTAAAATCATAAATAAATTAAAATCATTATAAAAACATATTTGAACTTAGTTCACCTAGTAAGAAGATTCACATAACTTTAATTAAAATTCTTAAAATCATCATATGAATAACTTTAATCAAATTTAAAACAAGGCACAAAATGCTTGATTACACAAATCTAATATAAACATAAAACGACATAGGATAAATTTTAGTATAACTGTAAATACAAAAGCATGAATTCTTTGTCCCAATGTCACACTATATATCAAAGCAAGACTCAAAATAATGAGAGAAGCTTTAAGCTTTGCCTCTATCAAACTCTTCTTTTTTACCTGATCTTGTCTTACAAGTGGCAATCAACCTAAATACACACAAATACAAACTTCGGGGCTTATGAAACATCTTCTTCATGTATAACACATATATAAGGCAAAGGATGGTACCAACAAAATATACAATAACGTTAACATCATTCATATAGGTACATTCATGTTTAACATCTCATGACATATTCATATCAAAATAATAATCATATCACATACATCCATCATCAATAATAACCATTCATTTCACTCAAGATATTTCAATTATAATTAAGACTCATGTGAATGCATATACTTGACTTATATGTACGTGGTACCAATCTCCTCATCATCACCAACTCAAGGCAACCTAGGAGTCATGGAATGGAATCACTACACACTAGATGAACCTTAATCCATTATCAACTAGGAGATGTCTATCAATGTCCAATCAAAGTGTTACTATCAACCATGGTTACCTCACACCCCATTTGAGGCTCCTTACCATAACACCCTGAAGGTATAGGTAAATGACCTTTGAGACCCTCCTACATAGACTCACATTACATTACAAACAAACATAAATGCATGACTCTACAACCAACAACATCACAACACAATATATGCAATGACAATTGTTGATACTTGACAAACCGCAACCCTAGACTTCTCCACAACACATTAAGTTTTGCTTGGATCACAACATTGTTAACTACAGTTTAAACTTGCATGTTCATCATTATCACCATATCTCATCCTCAAACACCAACATGAAACAATATCATTTGTCATAACATTACAACATTCATCATTTTTACATCATTATCACAACATCCCCACTATTCATTCATTTATTCAAGGTATATGTTTAGCCTCATAAATTTTATAGGCAAAGCTACCATTCAACACTAGCATGCATGCATAAACACACTACAGGGATTGCCTCACTAACCCTACCCTTCATTTGTGCCCATGGATGCGACATCCTTACTGCCCCTTATCTCGAGTGACGATTTTGTGGCACAAGTGCATTCTTTGTAGCCTCAGTTGTCATTCTGTAATCTCACCAGTGCTTCCTCTAGGTTCCCCTCTATAATTGCTCTAAGGGTTTAGGAAATGTGTAAGGAAAACTTTATCCTTCATTTTATTTTTTAAAAAGCCTTTAAGTTGAGTTCAAAGTTCAACCTAAACTTTTTTTTCTTTTCATAACCTCTTTTAATTTTATTTAATTAATAAAATGTTATTGATATTATAAACTTAATTAATTAAATTAAGTAGGTTAGTAATATAATTTTTATTAAAAATAACTTATTTTATTTATGAAAATCTGGGATGTTACACACTCTTTAAAAATGTTTAACTTCTTTTTCTTTCCTACAAATAAGATAATAACAAAGTTTTTTTTCATCAATTGGTAGCAGCACACCCCTAATTCGTTTGGGAAGTGACAACCTTCTCTCACACACTTACACGGTTAAAAAAGCAACCACACATGATATCAACATAAACTTACTAATGGGAAAAATTAGGGTTCTCACAGTACCCTAAGCTTCCTAAAGAATTTCAATTCAACTCTACACACATTAAGTAAACATCAAAGAGCACAATTAACAACAATTGTTCCAAACAAACAATTATTTCCTATAACACAAAAATCAATGGGGGCTCTTAAGGTTCTTTTCATAATAATAGAGAAGTAAACAAACAAGATTGGAAGTCAATCTTGTTACCCAACAGTTATCACACACCCATGAGTGAGACAACTCAATCCTCTTTATGTTGATAAAAGTCTAATGTCAACAAAAGATATTTGGGGTGATTTTCTCCTTTATCCTCGAGGTACACACTTCAATTAAACATCATATAGCATAATTAACATTATACATCAACAATTGAATTCAAACAAACAATTATTTCCTAGAATGCAAGAATCAAGAGTCTCTTAAAGTTCTCCTAAGAACAACATAGAAGCAACAATGTGAAAATTTGTTGAAACAAAATACAATAAGCCTAAATTAAAGCTAACACGCATCAATATACTAAATTTATCATCTTACAAAAAAATTATAAATTTAACATTTTACTCAAATTAAAAAGATTATGAGAGACCATAATGTCTATATTTCCTCTAATTACTATAAAATCATCAAGGATTAATTTAGTACAATTTTTAATTATTTTCATTATCTTATTTTAATAAAATTTGAGGATTAATTTAAATTCTTTTTAATATAAAGAGAATGGTTTAGTATGATATTAAATTATTTTTTATTATCTTATTGTAAGAACTATTTAAAAGAAAATATTTGATAAAATGAAATCCTTGATTTTGTCTTACTTGTTACTTCCTCCGTTTTTTATTCACTTACGTTTTGTGAGAATTTGTCATTTTTTTTAATTGTCATTTTACTAAAATCAATGACTTATTAATTTTTTTTTCATTTTTATCCTTAATAATTAATGTATGTTTATTGAATACTGTATCTATTTATTTATAATATTTACCTATTTTTTCTCTAACTACTTAGGTAAAGTTAATGTTATATTTAAAATGGCAATATGTTTATAATGAAATACTATAAAAAAAATAGAAAGTAGAATAGAAAAGTAAGTAATAAATATTTTTAAAAACTAAAATATCAGTTATTTTCTTAAGTTTCGTGTAAAACTTTAAAAGACTATGAATAAAAAACGGAAGGAGTATTTTATAAAGAATTAAATAAAAACAAGCTTACCGTAAGAAGTGCAGAGCAAATTGGAATCGATATTCTTCGAACAAGAGCGAGATTGTATTTTAGGGCGCGAGCAAGCGCGTTTGAAGAGAAGAAGAAGAAGCATGATCGTGTTCTGCTTCTGCTTCTACTTCTACTTGCGCCTTTCGAACTGAGAACAGAAGCGAAATCACGGTTAGTATTGCTAACTCTCTTCGTCTTTATGCTCAACACTCACTCAATTGTCTCCTATTGTCCGTGTCTTCAATTTGCGCCTCTCTATTTTATTATATGTATTTCATGCTTCGCCAATGCCTGTTTCAAGGGTTTCACGGATTGGGAACCTTTCATGTTATTTGAAATGTCCGTCTTGCGTTTCTTTCTTTTGATTGAGGAAGAGTCCAAAGGTTAACAATAGTGGAGGATATTACAGCTGGGCATATAAAAATGTTAAGATTACAACCTTGCATTGATATCAAGTTTAAGTTAAAATGAAAAAACCTAGACTAAAGCGTCAATTTGGTCCTTGAATTTGAAAAGTGTTATTAGTCCCTGGTTCGAGGAAACTTTTTAAAAAAAAGTCAATAAAATTACAGATTGACAATTACATTAGTCCAAAATTCAAAAAACAAAAAGTGTGATTAAAGTGATAATGTTCATATATATTCAAGAACTAAAATAACATTAAGTAGTTAAATTTAGAGATACTCATTTGATATTTTAGGGACTTATCTGAAATTTTCTTAGTTTCAGGACTAATGTGATAGCGCTTGCTACTTTCTGGGACATTCGGAAAATCTATCACTTATTGAGGTTAATTTATGTTTTTTAAGGGATAGGAGGCCTAATAGACTTGAGGTAGCTTATTGATTTTGCTTGACGGTATGTTAGATGGAAGAGACCTCTCTTTGCTGCGAACAATTGCCAGATGGATGCATTGAGGTTCAGAAAGAGGAAGACGGTGTGCTGATTGAATTGGATTGTCAAAATGGTTTTCCTGAAGGAAGAAAGGAGTTTGTTGCACCTGCTGTTGGAATGGAGTTTGAGTCGTATGATGATGCTTACAATTACTACATCTGCTATGCCAAGGAAGTGGGGTTTCGAGTAAGGGTGAAGAATTCGTGGTTCAAGCGGAATAGCCGAGAAAAATATGGTGCTGTGCTTTGTTGTAGCAGTCAGGGTTTCAAAAGAATAAAGGATGTTAATCATTTGAGGAAGGAGACAAGAACTGGTTGTCCTGCGATGATAAGGATGCGGTTGGTGGAGTCTCAGAGATGGAGGGTACTTGAGGTTATGCTTGAACATAATCACATGTTAGGTGCTAAGGTACACAAATCGGTTAAGAAGATGGGAACTGGGACAAAGAGGAAGTCATTGCCTAGTTCTGATGCTGAGGGGCAAACAATTAAGTTGTATCGTGCACTTGTGATTGATGCAGGAGGTAATGGAAATTCAAACTCCAGTGCAAGAGAGGACAGAGCATTCTCTGAATTTTCTAATAAGTTGAACCTTAGGAGGGGTGACACACAGGCCATTTATAATTTCCTCTGCCGGATGCAATTGACTAATCCAAACTTCTTTTACTTGATGGATTTTAGTGACGAAGGTCACTTGAGGAATGCATTCTGGGTTGATGCTAGGTCCAGGGCTGCATGTGGTTATTTTGGTGATGTTATTTATTTTGACAACTCTTATTTGTCAAACAAATTCGAAATCCCTCTTGTGACTTTTGTTGGAATAAATCACCATGGTCAATCAGTGTTATTAGGATGTGGTCTGCTTTCAAGTGAAACAACAGAGTCTTATATATGGTTGTTTAGGACATGGGTTAAATGTATGTCAGGATGTTCTCCCCAAACTATTATTACTGATAGGTGCAAGGCTTTGCAGAGTGCAATTGTAGAAGTTTTTCCTAGATCTCATCATTGTTTTGGCTTGTCATTAATTATGAAAAAAGTTCCAGAAAAATTGGGAGGGTTGCACAACTATGATGCAATTAGGAAATCACTGATCAAAGCAGTTTATGAGACATTGAAAGTAATTGAGTTTGAAGCAGCCTGGGGATTTATGATTCAGCGTTTTGGAGTTAGTGATCATGAGTGGCTTCGTTCTCTGTATGAAGATCGAGTTCGTTGGGCTCCAGTGTATTTGAAGGACAAATTTTTTGCTGGAATGTCTGCAGCTCACCCTGGTGAGAGCATTAGTCCTTTTTTTGATAGATATGTGCACAAACAGACTCCTCTGAAGGAGTTTCTTGATAAGTATGAATTAGCTCTTCACAAGAAGCACAAGGAAGAATCTTTCGCAGATATTGAATCAAGGAGCTCAAGCCCCTTGCTGAAAACCAGATGTTCCTTTGAATTTCAGCTCTCTAGATTGTACACAAGAGAAATGTTCATGAAATTCCAGTTAGAAGTGGAAGAAGTGTATTCTTGTTTTGGTACAACACAATTACATGTGGATGGCTCCATCATAATTTTCTTGGTTAAGGAGCGTGTTTTGGTTGAGGGAAACAGACGCGAGATTAGGGATTTTGAAGTTTTGTACAGTAGGACGGCTGGTGAAGTTCGTTGCATCTGTAATTGCTTTAATTTTTATGGATATCTATGTCGCCATGCACTTTGCGTACTCAATTTTAATGGGGTTGAAGAGATACCTCACAAATACATTCTTTCACGATGGAAGAAAGATTACAAGCGTCTTTATGTTCCTGATCACAGCACTAGTAGTGTTGATGATACTGACTGCAGTCAATGGTCTAATCAGTTATTTAGAAGTGCCTTACAAGTTGTGGAGGAGGGTATACTTTCTCTAGACCATTACAATGTAGCGTTACAGTCTTTAGAAGAATCACTGAGTAAGGTTCATGATGTAGAACAGAGACAGGAGTAACCTTCAATGTACCCTAAAAAAAATTACTGTTAGTGTACGTTACTTTGTATATTTCTACCTCTGCTTCTTAGCGCTGTTTAACTTTGGTCTTTTAACAATGTCCATAACTTGTACAGCTAAATATATTTTTGAGTTAAGCCATAAGTAGCTTCTCTATTGTCATTTCTGCAATAATGAATCTATCTCTTCCTAAGTCTTCTATTATGCAATCTTCATACCTTAACACTCACAGGCATGATTTCTCACTTTAAGAATGAGTTCAATGACTCTCCTTTAACACTACAGTAAACATTAAACAACAATAGCATAATAAATAAGGATTTAACTTTGAATAAAGAATATTTAGTTAATTTGTAAATAGGTGGCACCACATGTTTTTCATGATAATGTAAGTCAACTAAATCAAAAATAAATGTTAAAAACATTTAATAATTTGACAAATCGAAGGGTAATTCTCAAGGTCGGTCTATATTATTTCAGTTGGAGTTTAACCAAGTTCCAAACAAGTAGACGGACCTGCAGCACTTAACCACCAACTACCAAGTAGAAATTTGTAGTTGTTTTTACACGTGCACTGAGTAAAAGCAATGGTAATTAATACATGAACAAGTTGCTAAACAACGCCAGTTAATTATCTCCTCAAGCAAATGTATACTAGTTAACAATGCTTGCGCCATATTACTATTAGCCACGTAGAAGAGACCCTTTAGTTGTCTTGGTGGAATACCAAATTACCAATCATGATTCAGGACAACTTTGCCTGTTGTTTTAGTTGAGGAACAAAAAAATCTTCTTATGAAACCAAGATGAAGAGAAAAAATAAGTTGAGGTATCATTATCTGAACATATATAAAAGCCATATCACCATTGTTATTGGTCATTAGAAATCTGTTAGTTACTCTAACAGAATTATGATTTAGAAAAACTATGCTTGAGAATTAAGAAACTACTATAGAACTGGAAAAAAAAAGTTGTGGAATTAATACAGTATTAGGATACAAACAAGATCTCACATCGATAAAATAAGAAGAGAAATAATAACTTATAAAATGTACAAATACTTCAATGATTGAGAGACTTTTTAGGTGATAACCAAAAACAAAAAACTATGAGAGTTTAGGTCCAAAACTGATAATAATTCATTATCATGAGTTATGTGTGAAATAACTTTATTAAAAAGTAACAAAGTTATAATCATCAATAACTCCCACAGGGAGAGTTATAACTAAAAAAGTGGTAGATTCCGCTAAATAAGAGGTTAGATCCCTTGTTTGAGGGGGACTTAAATTCAAAGTAGACAATATCTTACCATTGTGAAATTATGTGTGAAATAACCTTATAAAAAAATAAGTTATAATCCTCTCCTTTTGATATAAATATTCCCTCAGACAAATATAATAAAATAACCCCAACAGTGTTATTAGATACAATTGCTATAAAATAACCTTAATAGTGGTATCAGAGTTGTAAGTTGGATTCAGTGACAATTAATAAGTTATAACTAAAAAAGTGATAGATTCCGCTAAATGAGATGTTAAATTCCTTATTTGAGGGAGATTAGATGCAAAAAACAGACAATATTTCATTATTGTGAAGTTATGTGTGAAATAACCATATAAAAAAAATAACAGTTATAATCCATGGACAATATCTATTGGAGTTGTGTGTAAAATAACTTTATAAAAAAAATAACAGTTATAATCCTCTCCTTTTGATATAAATATCACCTCAAACAAATATCATAAAATAACTTCAACAGTAGTATCAGAGACAAATGTCATAAAATAATCCTAATAGTAGTATCAGAGTTGCATATTGGATTTAATGACAATTAATAAGTTATAACTAAAAAAGTGATAGATTTCGCTAAATGAAATGTTATATCACTTGTTTGAAGGCAACTTAAGTCCAAAACGGACAATATCTCATTATTGTGTAGTTGTATATAAAATAACCTTATAAAAAAATAACAACGTTATAACCCTCTCCTCTTAATATAAATATTTCCTTGGATAAAGATCATAAAATAACCCAACATAGAAAAATAAGGTACTATTTTTACCTAAACATACTTGGGTGTTATTATTAATTACTCATTATAAGTTTTTTAGATCAACTTTTTTATTTTGGTTATAATCACAATAAACAGTTTAACCAAATGACATCGTGTAAAGTATGAAAATCTTTATCTTCGATAATCACTTCTAATGTCTTCGCTTCCCATAATTTGGTAGGAAGAGTATGAAACATGCTACCATCACCCCCAATGCGGCCCAACACTTTTCTAGGCTTAAAGCAAACATTTTAGATGAGGTCTTTTTTAAATAATAAAAATATATATTCAAATATTATAATTTTATTTAAAATTTATTTTTCGAGCCTATTGAGATGTAAAATTATTTATTAAATTGTTATAATCAATTTTATTTAACATTTCTTTATCAATCAATAATAAAGTTAATTCATTTAATCTTTCTTGAAATATTGTTGATCTTAAATAAGATTTTATTAATTTTAATTTTTAAAAACTTCCTCGCATTAAAGTAACTGTTACTGGAATTGTTAAGCACATTCAATTCCTGGTCCAAACTCCAAATCCTGTACTCAAGTCTCAATATTTAATATAATAATTATATTTTTATTTTTGTGAATTGTAGAAAAGTTTTTATAATATATTTTATACAATATACAAAGAAAGTTTTAAACTTTCACAACAACCAAAGAAACGTACTTACCTTTAAGACCAAAATTTGTGAGTGATTTAGCATTTGAATAATGATGAGAGAACATTAGAACGTGGCTGTTGTTTTGTTCATCAACGGAATGTTTTTTTGTCCTTTGCTTTTACGTTTGAAAACTTGGACGTGATTTTGAGAAGTAACTATTAATTACTTTTACTGCGTTGTAACGTGAAAATAGTGGAAAACGTGAATCTCAAACGTATTACCAAACACGCTCTATGATGCTGCTGACGCAGATGCTTACAAGTTACAACCTTACACACAGTTGGCACTGGCAGTCACAGACACACTATCACACTTACACTATCACAGTGGGAGAAAAGGCTAATAAAATTAGAGAGTGGCTACCAAATAAAAAAAAAAGTGAGTCGAATCAGTATTGGTTAATAGAGTTTAGAGAGTGAGACATAGAGAGTCAGAGAGAATAGATTAAGAGAGAAATAATAGCAGGAGGCCTAGCAAAAAAAAAAATAATAATAATAATAATAATAATAGCAGGAGAAAAGTCAGAGAGAGAGAGAAATAATAGTTTATGAGATGAAAATTGTGAGGAAATGAAACTTTTTTTCAAAAAAAAATTATTCAATTATTGTTAATAATGTAATATTATTTATTTTTATAAATATTAATAATTAATAAATATTTTTTAGGGATTTATAAGTGAGTTTTTTTTTTTTTTGTCTAAAACGAGTATTTTAGTAACTTGTGGGTTGGGTTGTCTTGCCCAATGCAAGAATTTAGGAGTAAAGTACTGTCAATCTTAATAGTACAGTCTAAGCACAGAAGGAAAATGAAAATATCTAAATTGGTCACACTCTT